GTACGCCGATGACGAATAATTGTACGTTTAACTGGCCGTTACGTCCGCGTTCGTGCACGACAGCCCGAGTATCCAGGAACTGAGAACCAACACGACTCAATCGTCTTGTCTGATATTGGCTTTTCAGATCAAGACCAGCATCATTTTCTCTCTTTCATGGGAACCTGGCTATGTTCGCACAAAAAAGAAAATCGCTCTACGCAGATTTTTTAATATCTTCCTTTTACTCAAGATATTGAAGAAACGTTCGTCGTTTTAATATCTTTCTTTCATTTAAACTTACTAACGCAATGAAGACGAAAATCTTAACCACTCGATGGAATTTTGTTCGACGTCTGATGAACTGCGTCGACCCAGATATTCCACTCGCGTGAAACGAATCAGTCGGATAAAGTCTGATCGCATGAGAAATCGACGCGACGTGATCTGCCCGCAAAACTACCGTCTAGCCATATGATTTCCTTATCTTCAGGGAAAAACTCAACCCTTCACTGAAGACGGATCGCGTAACGAATGCTGGAAACTAAATTTTCCTTCACGTGAACCTAATTTTCTTCAAACTCTCTGTAGATAACGAAAACTGCCTATCCATACTTGAAAGGACCAAATCTTCTTTCTGAACCATCAATTAAATTAAATAACATTCTGTGATCGTCAAGAATTTTCTTATTAAAATTATAGTATTCATAGTTATCTAATATCTGCTGACTAAAACTGATTGCATTAAAGTTAAGCTTAGTGTTGATATAAAAAATTCAACTACGAGGCGTTCATGAAAAAATTTTGAAGTTAATTAATCGTGTGGCAGAGACTTCGTATGGGAACGGACAAAAAATGAGGTTGGAAAAAGCCGAGTGTTCTAATCACGATAAGAAGAAAACGCGACACAACCTCTAGCCGACAGATCCATTTGTCATTATTTAACGTCTTTGCGAGGTGGACGCTTATCACCTCTGTAACCATTTTGTTCGTAGCGAACGCGTAACGACCCGATGTACATTTTAAATATTTCAATTTATATGATTACAAAAACTATTTATATTTGCTTGCGTTTCTTATTAGGTTTCCATTAAAACGAATTACGGTTGTACAGAATATTAATACGACATTACGAAAATTATACTCTGATTTCATTGAACAGTATATGGGAATTAAAATAATTATAGAAGTGTCGGAATGCTTTTTGTAATCCTTCAATACAATCTGAGATTTTTCAGTACAACCTGTCTCTGGCTTCTTTAACCCATTTCACTTTAATCCTTACCTAATCGTTTACTACTGACGTGAAAGAGGCCAGCTCTAGAAAAAATACAAGCTACCTTTAAAATTTTGATAAAAATCCCCAATTTATTTTCTTCCTCATGTTTCTATTGGAATATTTAGAAACATAATCATTAGACATTGCACATATTCGTATCTTTTTATAAGTGTATTCGAAATTATGTTATTCGACATGAGAATTCAAGATGCATCAACTTTTTTTTAATAGTCTCGTAAAATTTCTTTGTACAGTGTTTTATTAATGTAACATCTTGTAACTGTTAAAATTTCAATGCTTTATCATTGTTTTTATATAAGGGTTCATACAACCTTAACGAGAAAATTCGTGAGATACAATAGGACCCACCTTCATAAAGAAGAAGAGTTAGATCAAAATCTTGACTTCTATCGAGGATTTTAAAAGTGAATATCGCACGGAAACCGATAACCGGGGAAAGTGTCAGGAAAGGTTATCAGAATTAAAAACCAAATATAGCGACTGAACGAGACAAACTTCGAATAGTAACGCGTCAAGACTCCGTTCATTCCGCAGCGCAATTCGTTTCGTAACTGTTTAGTGTCAGAATTTTCTAACTAGTGTTATCAATTGCTCTTGATTTTTTCAGTGCTCTTTGAGATATAACGAAGACGAATAGTGGAAATTGGCATAATGTCATCGCGGATGCAAGATGAATTACTTGAATACAGTATTCGTGTTATTTATCCTGGCGTTTATTCAGACTCATGTTTCAGTCATTCCGAGACCCAGAAACGATTCAGAGTTTCGTTGTTTTATAATAACAGCTCCCCTGAGAAGCGTCTATGGTCCTGTATGACTACGAAGATACATACTTGACACGATTAGGCCTAATATTTTAAGTGAAACACGTTCAAAAGAGAAATCATTATCCAAGATATAAAAATCTCGTTCGATGCTCGAAAGTTCACATTGATGAGCATCATAATCAACGCTTTATCGATAAGCCCGCATTACTCACATTGCCAAACGACGTTTCTTCTATCTTTTGTATTTACTTTGAAGACTAGAAGCATTGGCTCGGTGTATAGTGACATCTCGGCGACGATGAAGCACGCGTTTTAAACATGCGGCAAATTATAAAAATTTCTCGGCTCGATAGCGCGTCCCTGAACGTAGGAAACATCATCGCGAGACAAGTTCCCGACGCCATTAATCTCGTTTGCTTGCGTCGCGGTTCAACCGTCGTGGTTAATATCTCACGTGGCCAATCGATTCCTACGCACGACACTGATCTCTCAACGTTCGAGTTGATTTTACGCCGATATGTCGAAACAGTTGCGCGCGCTCTAAAGAGGCGAGAGATTGCCCCAGGAGAGATCTCGATTATCAAAATGAAAATCGTAATGGTAGCAACGTCTGTTTTGGTTCTCTATCTCTGTTTCGCCGTCGCGAATTCTACTACGGAGACGACGACGGAAAAAGAGAAGGAATTCGTGCCGTTCGCCGTCGAGACCACTGAGGTATACACCGGATCGATCATCAACGTACCGATCAATTGTCCGGAGGGCAAAGTGATAGTCGGGAGTCATTGTAGAACTGTTTATTAAGTGAGTATAAATTCCATTTAAAAAACTGATGAGCTCGTTACTCGTAAAAACCAAGATAAAAAAATCCAATCGTACGTACATGATTTTTTGAACCACGCAAAGGTACTTTGAAAATTGCACGAGAATCAAGTAAATAGTTAACTAGATCGTTCTCTAGATATACGAAGATTAGCAGAATTGTTTTTTTTTTTTGTTACAGATACGTTGCATGCTAATGCATCAACGATCAGTTATTCAAGTTTCCGACGACTTCGCAATCTCGTGAATGGTTTCTATACGTCGTACCGCTTCCAATCAGAATTCTCCTTTTGTCGAAGTCGATACAGAAGTAAACGAGACGCGAATGGGTTATCCAATGAGCAAACCAAGTACCAACACCCAATGTACATGCGAAATTCAAAATAATCGCAAACAAAAATACGAAAAACTGGAAGAAACAGGAAAACCGAAGCATTGATAAGAGGGATGTAAAGGATTTATGAAATGTCAGAATTATCTACTCGAGTGCGCGATTATCAGCAGCAGAATATTATTTTATCGCTTGTACGTAATTAGTTACAAATTTTTAAAAATAAACACGGACTTTTATAAGAACGAACGGAAGTGTATATTTACTTCGTTTCATATCGAGTATAATAATCTGATAATAGAGATAAGACGTGAAATAAACAAAATATGCATTCCGTTCTCTAATCAAAGGCCTGCAAGCGATTACCGTTTTCAACATTGCCGATGTAAAATAACATCGCTCTACATTTCATTAATTCAACAAATTCATTAAACAAATAACACAACAATAAAAAATAAATAAATAATGAAGTTTAGTTATAAAGTAATTGTAGCCCAATAAAATACTATTAAAGAATCATTCCTTTGATGAAATATAGTGCATTCAATGTCTCTTACATAAAAATATAGACTACAAGACTTGTCTCATACCGAAAACGAAATATTCAAATTCGCTCATTAATAATGGCCAATTTATCTGGAACTTGGCACAAATATCACCGAGAAGATATTAGAAACCGCACGTGCGTAATCGGATGTATATTGTGACCACAAATTAACGTGGAGAGATTAGAGTTCACGCGAAAAAATATTGCGAAGAGAAGGGATACAGAATAAAAGCAGGATTTCTTTCTCAATCACATCGTCCTGCAAGTTCTCCACGTGAACACGTTACTCTCTCGGAGGAATCCAATCAAAATCTTATCGTTTTCTTTTCACGCGCACGTAATGGCTCCGATACGTCTCGTTATTGCGATTCTTTTCGCGTGCTTCGCTGTCGCCGCGAGCGTTCCTCTTTATTTTCCAAGTAGGAAACCGTGTCCGCCAGAGCACAAGTATCACCGTATCATCGGTTGTTGGAAAGAGAATCGAGATAAACTCTACTCTTGGTGAACTAATAAGAAGACTTGGTAAGATTCAAGATCTTCTTTGGACTTCCACTTGAAATTGTACACTGCCTTTATCTTTTTACAGCGAAAAAATGGACAGATACGATAGCCGCAGCTTGTATAGCTATTAAGCAAGCAATTTAAAGTATTAAATACCAAAAAACATACGTATATTAATTTATCTTTATATTACTCTGTACAATGATCACATATCAATAATAAATTGAACATTTTTAGATAGATATCGCTTTATATTATTTTTTCAAGCTCTGCTCTAATTGCAATTTCTTTTTAAATTAACCGTGCATCCAATATAATCGATCAATAAAAATTAACGAACTTATAAACGTACTTATAATTCGAATACGTACTTGCAAAAGTGCATCGCATGCACTCGATCATTTATCAGATATTAATCATCAACAAGAGATGATGCTATCAGCGAAAGGCATTACTATTACATGTAAAAGAGAAATTTAAAAAGTTATTTTTCCTGATAAGAATTAAGTATTGACAGAATAGACAAAAATAGATACAATAACACTCATTTTCTCTTTTAAAGACAGACACGGAAAATTACTTCGGATATTCTGTATAACTGTATACCGTGTTTCTTTAAATTATTGAAAATTCCCATAAATTCATAAAACTCCGCGGTTTAGGAATGAGTTAGGTGTGCTGGCTGTGGCGGGGGCAGCGCGAAAGGCTCTGATACGGTGGGGACTCGGTGGCACTTACCTGCAGAGCTCAGTTTCGTATCACGCGCAACAATAAACCAAGCAGTGACGTATAAGCTCCTGGTCACCATAAGATTCTCAATGGGATGCAGTCCCGTATGTTCGCGTAGTGGCTACTTGGCTTATCGCTGTGCATGGACCCTGTTGAATCTCAGGGACAGGGCTATTTAATCGTACGCGCGCGGCAGACGTGTCAGCCACGATTCCTACGTGTGCCGGTTTGCGTGGTACCTATATAATCGCGGCAAGACGTATTCGCTTCAGCAGTCGATCGCGGCGCGAGCGCAAGAACCTACTCAGGTGTGACTACCACGCGCTTTCCTCGTGCCGTCGCATTCTTAACGAGCGCCGGGACCTTGCTTAGCCAGTGATCAGTGCGAATTTTCTCTACAGTAGTTGGAACACCGGTACGCAACAATCGAGGGCGACGCCAGAAATACGCGACTTGAGGAACCCTCGCGAGATTCCACTATCCCGGAAAACGAGGCGACCGGTTCGATCATGTCGTGTCTGAGGAGGAACAAGACTTGCATCTTCGCGAGCATATTCATCACGTTCGCAATCACAGGCTCGATTATCGGAGTCGTGGTCGCTCAACAGGCGAGGGAGGAGCAACAGAATCCCGGCAGTTTGTTACATCGGGCATCGGTCGGAAGTAGCGCAGTGCCGAGATCTGAGGATGACCCGGAGTTATCCGAAAGTGACAGGCAATTATTGGTAAATCGATTGCGTTCACACATTCCTAACGTAACGGTCGCGGTTAACATGTACGCATGTAGTAGGATTTCGTGACTGGAACGGAACGGATCCCGTTTGCGAGTCATTGCAACACTCCCACGTTTTCACTCGGATAAATAGCGCAATTATGTTATCCCGGCGAGGCATTGTGAACGGAGCGAACGTGATGGAGAGGTTTAAAAGCCGGGTTTCGGTCGTCCCGTGCGTAATAGGTACCAACGTTGGGTTATCGTGCTGTGATACGATTCGCGCGATTCGAATCGACGAAACGATCTAGATTCCATTCTCTCTCTCTCTTATCATGGCGATGACATCGTTCCGAATAGAAGATACGCGTTATCGGTACAGGTGAATCACGCGGCTAATCGATCCGTTCTTTTTGTTAATGCAACATTCGTTTCTTTTTTTCTTTCGCGTACGTCACCTTCGTTAACGTAAGCGATAAGTGGAGGTGACAGACAACTCCTTTTGTCGACGACAGACGTTGCGACATCCTCGCGAATGGGAGCACGTTAGCCTTTCCGCGGAGACCTGAATAAACGATCAGGGCCGATCGGAACCAATGTCAAGGATGTACGCGGTGTAAAAGCAAATAGGAGATGTCTAGATGGGAAAGTAAAACGGAAACCTTGCGGTGCACGAGACTCGTAAGAATGCTCGTCACGGTCTATTCGATGTATCAGTAACAAGTGATTGCACGTCATTTGACGTTCGCGAATGCTTGCTCGATTACCTGGCGCCGGGAGTTTGCTAATTTCATCGGCCCGCATGCCGATCAATTTAAAGTATTAAATACCAAAAAACATACGTATATTAATTTATCTTTATATTACTCTGTACAATGATCACATATCAATAATAAATTGAACATTTGTATATAGATATCGCTTTATATTATTTTTTCAAGCTCTGCTCTAATTGCAATTTCTTTTTAAATTAACCGTGCATCCAATATAATCGATCAATAAAAATTAACGAACTTATAAACGTACTTATAATTCGAATACGTACTTGCAAAAGTGCATCGCATGCACTCGATCATTTATCAGATATTAATCATCAACAAGAGATGATGCTATCAGCGAAAGGCATTACTATTACATGTAAAAGAGAAATTTAAAAAGTTATTTTTCCTGATAAGAATTAAGTATTGACAGAATAGACAAAAATAGATACAATAACACTCATTTTCTCTTTTAAAGACAGACACGGAAAATTACTTCGGATATTCTGTATAACTGTATACCGTGTTTCTTTAAATTATTGAAAATTCCCATAAATTCATAAAACTCCGCGGTTTAGGAATGAGTTAGGTGTGCTGGCTGTGGCGGGGGCAGCGCGAAAGGCTCTGATACGGTGGGGACTCGGTGGCACTTACCTGCAGAGCTCAGTTTCGTATCACGCGCAACAATAAACCAAGCAGTGACGTATAAGCTCCTGGTCACCATAAGATTCTCAATGGGATGCAGTCCCGTATGTTCGCGTAGTGGCTACTTGGCTTATCGCTGTGCATGGACCCTGTTGAATCTCAGGGACAGGGCTATTTAATCGTACGCGCGCGGCAGACGTGTCAGCCACGATTCCTACGTGTGCCGGTTTGCGTGGTACCTATATAATCGCGGCAAGACGTATTCGCTTCAGCAGTCGATCGCGGCGCGAGCGCAAGAACCTACTCAGGTGTGACTACCACGCGCTTTCCTCGTGCCGTCGCATTCTTAACGAGCGCCGGGACCTTGCTTAGCCAGTGATCAGTGCGAATTTTCTCTACAGTAGTTGGAACACCGGTACGCAACAATCGAGGGCGACGCCAGAAATACGCGACTTGAGGAACCCTCGCGAGATTCCACTATCCCGGAAAACGAGGCGACCGGTTCGATCATGTCGTGTCTGAGGAGGAACAAGACTTGCATCTTCGCGAGCATATTCATCACGTTCGCAATCACAGGCTCGATTATCGGAGTCGTGGTCGCTCAACAGGCGAGGGAGGAGCAACAGAATCCCGGCAGTTTGTTACATCGGGCATCGGTCGGAAGTAGCGCAGTGCCGAGATCTGAGGATGACCCGGAGTTATCCGAAAGTGACAGGCAATTATTGGTAAATCGATTGCGTTCACACATTCCTAACGTAACGGTCGCGGTTAACATGTACGCATGTAGTAGGATTTCGTGACTGGAACGGAACGGATCCCGTTTGCGAGTCATTGCAACACTCCCACGTTTTCACTCGGATAAATAGCGCAATTATGTTATCCCGGCGAGGCATTGTGAACGGAGCGAACGTGATGGAGAGGTTTAAAAGCCGGGTTTCGGTCGTCCCGTGCGTAATAGGTACCAACGTTGGGTTATCGTGCTGTGATACGATTCGCGCGATTCGAATCGACGAAACGATCTAGATTCCATTCTCTCTCTCTCTTATCATGGCGATGACATCGTTCCGAATAGAAGATACGCGTTATCGGTACAGGTGAATCACGCGGCTAATCGATCCGTTCTTTTTGTTAATGCAACATTCGTTTCTTTTTTTCTTTCGCGTACGTCACCTTCGTTAACGTAAGCGATAAGTGGAGGTGACAGACAACTCCTTTTGTCGACGACAGACGTTGCGACATCCTCGCGAATGGGAGCACGTTAGCCTTTCCGCGGAGACCTGAATAAACGATCAGGGCCGATCGGAACCAATGTCAAGGATGTACGCGGTGTAAAAGCAAATAGGAGATGTCTAGATGGGAAAGTAAAACGGAAACCTTGCGGTGCACGAGACTCGTAAGAATGCTCGTCACGGTCTATTCGATGTATCAGTAACAAGTGATTGCACGTCATTTGACGTTCGCGAATGCTTGCTCGATTACCTGGCGCCGGGAGTTTGCTAATTTCATCGGCCCGCATGCCGACTGTTAATATTAGAAAGAAAAATGACTATAATAGACGAATACAAATTGTTCATTCGAAAACTAGAAAATTACGACACTACTTAGCTGATTTTATGATGACTATTAAGGAAGTAGCTAAGGAATTTTGACTAATTCATGTAGAACCTGGTTACGATTTAAAATTCTATATTCTTCAATAATGTTGCAAGTCTCATTGCAATGTCAAGGTTCGAGTATTGTTTGGAAAGAGTCGTGTACACGTATGGTGACAAGTACACGGTTTAATTTTACGGTATGACTATGTATCTTCGCGCCGGGTGTAATAAACGACCTTTGTAAGTCGCCGGCCACGAGACGACGCACATGCGATTCTCAGAAAGTAAAACATCTCACCGGAGCAACTAATAGTTACACACCGCTTAGGTATGCAAATTTACAGTAGCGAGTTTACTAAAGTGTTAAACTGCTACCGACTCTCGTTGTCGCGTCCGTAAAAATATTCGTCGGACACTCGTGGCGCGAAATGCGCGAGGAACAGGTATTCGAAAAGAAGGGAGAAACCTCTATAGAAAGTGCATTAACACTGATTCTTAGAAAACGAATCCGTTTGAACACGATTCGAAACCAGTTTCAAGTCGAGGGAGCTTCGGAAACGGGGACTGAAGAAATAACATTCGAAACGTGACGAAGGGTTGTCCATTAATTACCCGGATGACTGACCTATAACAATTTTGTATCCGCAAATATCCGCTAACGAAATCGATGATTCATCGAAGAGTTATTATTGGGAATACCCCGATAATTGCAGCGAGATTCTCCTGTTCGACCTTCTTTTATCGATCGATATCTCCCACGTTTCGTCGTTGCAGTTGACTAAAATATTCGGTCCTCATTAAAAATAAACTCGGAGACGATGCGAGTCGACAGAACGATGAAATAATTAAATAAAACAAACCGAAAATCGACTGATTAACACGTTACTTAGTTAGAAAACTTATATTCATTGCAAGACTATGCAACACCGCGCATATGCTGTCATATATGAAATATTTTTCTAAAGTAAGCGACTGCTCTTATCGAAGCCGTCGATCAGATAGGCGCGTACGTCGTCATTTGTGCACGATCCATTTATCGCTATCGATCGGCGAATGATTAATCAACATAATCTCATCGTACATGGGAAACAGTAAAAAATTCCGACGACTGTGTTCGTTTTAACCAGAACGCTTTATTATTTACAGGAATCGCTAGAAATGGCTAGGGAGATCAATTCCATCACATCGATAAACGAATTCCTCAGTAAGTTTAGTCCGGGAACGTTTGCAGCGCGAGAGCCCGGTTCCTTGGGAATCGCGGGCATCGGTATAACCGGTAAGTACGATTTAATACTACTCACTATTACGCGCAAGATCCTCCTTATGAATTATTAGAGTTAATGTAAAACCGGTTAGAAAACGAAAGGAGTTCGAGAACCTGACGAATTACACTTTATTCGTGGAAGAACAAACATAAAAAGAAATAACGGCGAAACACGTAGATAAACTTGACAACTTATGTAAACAATCCGTAACTGCGGCAGACATTGCTTGATTCGATAAACGTGAATACCGTAGCGATATATGTTTGCAATTTGATTGTTCAAACTCGATTATCGGTGAACATGAGATCATCCCGTTAATCGTGACGTGAAAAAAAAAGAACTAAACGGAAACATCTCGTAATCGAACAATTCCTCGTTCGACGCAAAATTTGGATTCATCCAAATTACAAAATTAAAGAAAAGAGATATATCAATAATATAATAATATGTATGATAGCTTCGATAAAATGTTTTAAACTTCTTCGAAATTCATTTTCTTAAATTTACTCAAAAGATTCATTTTACACCTACTGTTACCCTCGTACACTATCAGACAGATTTGATAGTTGAAGACAAACCTTTTTTTCATCTTTTCATTATTGTCGTCTGTGTTAACGCATGGTTTTTCGAAAACGAGTTGGTTATCTACGGATTGGTAGAGAAGGGGAGGCGTACATGGATCTCTGGTGATCATCTCTAGTTCCAGATTCTCGAGAAAATGTTTGCGATCCTCAAAAAAATCGACGTCTCTTAAGAAACCGCCGAAACTGTTCGCGTTCGGTATCAGTCTATTAGTGATCTCATTGATTTCGTCCAAACTGGGCAACTTGGCTTTCGGTTGATTGAATCGCACCGGAACCGCTTTGCTTTTAAGAGATGTTTCGACGGTCGGGCACTCGGCTAAGGTGGTATAAGCAATTCGCAGCTTACACGGCCGCTTCCAGGTATGCAAACTCGACTTGGCCAAGCAGTACGCGTTCAAAGCATCTGTGATTAAATTAAACGGGATATCTATTACGTTCGTTACGCTGGTTAACCTGGATTATGCTAATGACATCTCTAACTCGAATCATGGTGCAAATCCTGACTGCGTGATTATCAACTCACGTACAGTCATAGCGAATAATCGTTGAACTGAAAATGTAAAATCCTTGCCTCTTTTCCTACGCGCAAATTCTATTGCACCGTCGGCTTCCACGTACTTAACAGCGGTAGTTTCGACATTAACAGGTCTATCTTCTTCTTGACCGCGCTCTCTCTCGATGGCTTTGATGGTTGCTGCCATTTCCTCTTTCAATTTCATTCTATTAATCTCATGCCCAATGTCCTCCTCTACGTTGGGCGACGAGATGTCGAGCTTGAAAAGATTGCTGAGATCATCGTCGTTCAACTCGTAAAACGCATCGTCCATCGCGCCAATTTTCTTATCGTCGATTTCATTCTGATTAATGTCCGGTACGATCAGACTGGAGGACGAGATTTCGAGTTCCTCGAAAAACATTTCGTCACTCTTTTTCAGGCATTCCTGCTGCCTTCATACATATAAATATAAAACTCTGATAGTAGCTTTTGCCTTGTTAGACGAGATTTACTACACCGTATTTACGTAATCTTACCGATTTTCGAAATCGATGCTGCTCGTTGGTACGATACGCGGGAACATGTGTCGAGTCTTCACCTTACGCGATCCCATGAAAGCTTTCACATTTCTACGGCCTCTAATCACTCTACCGAACCAATCGAGGATTACATTCTCCGCTAAGTGGTTCTCGAAACCGGAAGCGAGACCATCCACCAAAGCGAAGTAACCATTGACGACGGAGACAGCTTGCGTATGCTCGTCCATCGTTCGATTCGCCTAAAATACGCAGTGATTTACGATGAAGTCGCGATGCGTTACGTGAAATCACAGAAACCACATTGAATTTATAGACGTCACGAAAACCGGAGAAGGAAAACCCCCAGGGTGACTGATTAAAAAAAAACAAGGTGAAGCATGCACCATTTTTTCAGGCAGAGTAGTAGGAACAGGAACTCAACGGTCGAACAGTGTGATACCGAAACCAGCTTTATGCATGCCCGAATTGCAACTTGTTCCTTTAAAACAAGAGACCGATCCGTCCTATATTTATTATCCCACCTGTACGAGGATCATGAGGTGCGGCGGTTGTTGCAACCACCAGTTACTATCTTGCCAGCCTACTGAATGGGAAACTAAGAACTACGAAGTAAGTCACCTCGAAAACGCGCGACGATAACCGCGTTTCAGATGATGAAATAAATAAGTAAACGGTGAACGCCCTACTTAGGTAGCCTGGATGGTGTACAACCCACCCGATGGATACAAATACAATGGCAAACGCATCATACCGTTGGAAGAACACACAAAATGCGTGTGCGACTGTACGATTAAGGAGAAGGTAATTTAAGGACAACCGATAAATGACTTCTTCCTTCTTAAACCGGTATTACCCGGCTTACGCAGTCTGCACCTTAACAATGCGCTATCGTGACGATAATGCAATTCTTGTGCTCACGCGCAAACGCTAACTCGGTCACTTCAATTGACGAGCTACGTAAACGATCGTTTTTCTCAGAGTTCGAAATTTCTTGTCACGAACAAATTAAATTCTGAGTTCTTTCTACTTTCAGCTTTTAATGAAACGTTTGATGCATTTTTATCTAAATTTATAAATCCTACAGATCAAACTTTGTGGGCAAAACTGGTTTCTTCGATTCAAATTAAAAAGTTACATAAAATTTGGTTCTTTAATCATTTCGCTTGACGATCTTTCAGGACTGTACCCTGAAACAGACGTACAAGAAGGACCAATGCCAATGCGTGTGCAACAACGTCGACGAGAGAGATAAATGTATCAAAAACAATAACACGAAAATCTGGAATTCGAAGAGTTGCGACTGCGTCTGCAGAGAAGAAAAAGACTGTTCCACCGGTTTTTACTTCGATCAAAACACATGCAGGTGTGAGCGGAAAGAATAGGGAGTCGGTCTTATGGGAATAAGAGTCTCTACTGTCCCTGCACTCTAACACTTTGTAAGCTGCATGGGTCGCACCACCACAACTACATTTCGTGAGGCTGTCTTTCCGTTGATAATAATTACGATACTTTCTCTCGCATTACGAAACTAATAATTTTTCCGGCTATGTCATGCTTTATTCGAACGCACAATTAATACGCACAATACATGATTGTATATTTACTAAAACCATGCTAGCCTTTTTTCTCACAAGGTCATGAACTCAAAATTGGAAGATCATTTTTAAATTTGATTAAATGCACCGTAGATGCAGGCAAATGCCTCTATCCAGAGGCTGGTTTCCGTTGACGAAAGGAACTGACTATGGTTTCGGACAAACGCAAAGACCAGACACGGCACCACCGGTAATAATTTCATTGGACGCAGGAGATCCTAAAAGAAAACCTAAACCAGATCCATACACATAAGGATAATAGGAGCAGGAACCATAAGACTCACGAGACAGCTATTTAATAGGAATAGGATACGCTTAACAGTCGAACCTTTCATCTCAGTGCCATTCCACAACAGACATGCAGAATACAATAATCGTATTTATGTGATAATACGCGAATATATATTAAATGTATTTTTATTGTATATCAAAAGACATTGTGATTCGTGGAGAGACACAATTATTTAAATATTAATTTGACGAATATTTTATTAATTGTACTCTTCGGTATAAACGTTAAAAAATATTTTATAATTGTTAATCTTGCTCCATTGTTGCGTGACCCCCATTCGCTTGTATATTATGTGTTTTTTTACTTTGTATATACGAAGCCAACTCATGATTAACTTTTAAGAGATTCATGTACCTCCCGTTTATAGATGTAAGCGATTTGGATATTTGTCCTAAAAAATTGTTCGATAAAGTATTATACACTAATCATTATATACAATTCGAAGGAATTGTACATAACCTCACTTTCATTTAACAAATCAATCATTATAAACTTAATATTTTAATATAAATATTTATATTACGTCTACAAAGATCAAACTTGAAGACGTTCCCAAGTATACGCATTTGTTCATGAATAAAAGTGTCACTTACTAAGAGAATCTGCCATATCACGAACAGTTGAATCTTTAGTCACTTTCGGACGATTTATTGTCCGTTCCATTGTTAACGAAATTGTAATTCAATTCTTTATAGAATCGAAATTATTGAAAAAAATTTTGCGTAATATAAAAATAATTTATTTCAGAGAAGCGCGTAGCGCCAAATCGTTGGAAGAATATACGTAAGCAACCGTCGATCAAGTCTACCAATACCCAACATACTCACAATACAAAATAATTCAATCTATTTGCATACTCGCAATACCATAAAGAAACAAAATACGACCAATCCCCATTTTTAAATTTATGAACAAGATTTTGTAATTATATTACCTGCATAGTTATCCTCTTATAGTAAACGACGAGTATGCAAATTTTCTTCACTGTTGTAGACTTTTAAGGACAGAACGTAAATAAACGCGACTAAGTATCTTCGTAAAAACTTTAAACATTTGAAAGTCGATTCTTTTTGTGCATAAAAAATGTTACCGGCAACCGAATATTGTGTGCGTCACGTCAGAGCCACCTAATCACGAAGAATGAAACTGTGACTTTCACGATGGAGTCTGAGATGGCGCGATGTAAACGATTTTGGTCAAATGATCCATGGATCATTTCAACTACACTAAATATAACTGTTGCTAATTTCTGAAATTAGTAATTGCTAAATGAATATTGTTACAATTCGAACGTGTTTTACGACAGATTCGTCGACTCAAGCTGTTTTGACCCTCGATTTTGAAACGACTGCCCTCAAAGGGTAATTTTTAATTCCACATTATTCTCCATTCTGAGACTCTTTATTCTTGTTTTCAATTCACGTACGCGAATCGCCAGAAGTTTAAAATCGATTGAATTATGGTGCAAGTTTGTAATTACTGGAAGCCGCACTACAAATTGTCGGATTCAGTTTCGTCTATTTTTAACGCGCGTAATTGATCCGAGCAAGATGAAAATTCAGTATACGGCGTTCGTTCGTTGATCTCCAACCGCGATATCAATAATTAAAAACCTCTAGCAGGAATCATCAAGAACTTTGTTTCGCTAAGGTCATACAGACGAATGAAGAAATCCTTCAGAAAGTAATTGATATACGATAAACGTGAGAATATTCGTCGTGTACTTTGTACAAATAAATTAGAATTCTCGTGAGATACCAAAGTCACGGGAACTGGTAGCGCGAGGATACTCCTGCAGCGCGTACTGGACGAAAGAACCGCAGCGCAGCGGAACGAGGCGCCGTTTTTTTTCGCCACCCGCTATAATTGCCGGGGCTTTGTCACTCTTGCCGAGACGCGAATCGCAGTGAGGTAACACGTCGCCGTGTCGCCTTGTAGCCTTTATGTCGGCGGCTACCTCAAAGCGAACTCAACGAGACGAAGAAAGCTGAGATCTCAGTGAACAAAGGCATCGAGGATCCACGTAATTGTCTCACAGCCGGGGGCATGTAAGAACAGCTGAATTTGCTGAAGACAAACGGATTTTCCATTGAGGTGACGAAGAGCAGTCGATGAGATTGCAGACTCTATCGATCTTCTACGAGTATATAAAACAGTATTCAAAACGAGCCTGCATTCGCAGAGATTAATGAATCGCTCGTACTCGCAGCACTCAGTTTTGCCGATGTAGATAATTATACGGCTAGGTGTTGAAAGGCGCCTATACACCATGTTCAGTGCAATGTAATCGCGTATATACGCGTCAGGAGGATTTTTTGTCGTCCCCCGGCCGCGGCGACGGGGACCGGTGAATACGGCTTAATTGCATTCGGTAGCGAGGAAGATTTAAAATTCAACGAGGAACAGTAGTGGGCCCGGAAAAAAACCGGTATCTCGCCTACGTATTTTACGCCACTTTCTTGCGTGTACGCACGCGTGTATCGCTGTCTCACTCCATCGGCCGAGCTCTCTCGAGAGCCTCTCCTCAAGGACTCTGCTCGGAAAGCCCGTGCGCGCTGCTGCGCGTAGCCGGTAACAGCCCGACGGTCGTAACACGGTAGCCGAACACGGTGGTAGGTTTAAATCATATTAAAGCGCATCCAAACACCGCGCCGGGAACCGTAAGCCCGGATTACTGCTACAAATCGTCCCGTACCGGGAATTTCGCGCCAAGTAATTCGATCGCCTCTAAACGGTCCAGACTAATCACACCCTATCGTCCCCCCCCCCTCGCCCCTTCTACGCTCCGCTAATTCCATGCTTCTTGCCCAACGGTCTCTTGCATCCGCGTCGACGACGTCCGCCTAATGTTTCGACTCAGCCTCTCTCTACCAAAATTACGCTCGTGTCGACGATGTCTCCGTAAACCGATACTTAATGAAACTGGAGAGAACGAGAGTGAAAAAAAGTGTAGGAAGGGGAACGGTTGGAGGGGAGGTAACAATACGAGAGACGAACGGGTACATGATAAAGTGGAAAGTTACGAAAGAACGTGGGCAGCAACGGTAGAAAATGGCGTGGGTCGTGACGGTCTGAGACCAGGTGGAACGTGTTTATACAAGATACGCCCTGATAAGGCATCGCCGATGCTCGCCAGGAAGGTACTTAACGCCAAACACGAAATGACCAATGTCCAAGACCAAACGCTCGCCCTCCCTGAATCTAAACAATGGAGAATCAGAGCTCCCCCTCACGAAACACGAATGATCGATCACCTGGGACGGAGGCCGTCGATAAATTGCGACAGCACTTCGAAAAATGGCCCCTTTTAGAATCATCGAACGGGATCTAAAACCCGTATCCGACGCATAGGTCACGATTTTATTGCGTTCACGTGCGTGAACGAATCTGTTCAGGGTTCGTGGGTGACGCGAAAATCGTAACGAGTCATCGTGATTAGTTTCGTTCTGGACACGAACTGTGGATCGTGACGAGGAGAATATACTAGTCACTTTTGTTACATTTCTTTTTACCTTTCAAATTATGATACACATTATACGGACCTTTCGCTCAACGTATTCCTTTAACGCGGTCACGCGATTTCAGACATGCTCCGAAATTCAACCAGTCTTTTAGATGTACATACGAATTCCTCCGACTCGAAGGGAACACTGTTCAAAGTTTTATTATTGATAAAAGGGATCCTCGTAATTGCCGCGTAAAAACAGATTCCGCAAATGGTGTACGAACATCGATTGATACTTTTTATATTCTACTTAGTAACGACTTGTCTTTAAAAGCGGTTTAGAGAAGGAACGTACATACTTAAAAAATACTGGTTGGTTCCATTTATATAAAAGCCATCCATTTACAAGAATATAAATGCGTGTCCCTTCAAAAGCCGTAAGCCGTAATTTTGATCGGTAGTAAGAGGAAAAAAAAAGAGAACCGTCCATTCGGAGTAGCTTTTATTTAATAAAAGCAGCAAGACCGTTCGCGGCCGTGCCATCAATTTTCCCTTTACGCCGTAGAAATATTCCAGCCCGTTCTAACTCTCTTTCCCTCTCTCTCTCTCTTCGACTCTTCATCTCCCTTCCCCTTTTGCTCCCGCCACAGCACCAGTAGCTCTCTTTTATCCTTTTCTTTCTCCTCGACTTTTCGTCTCTCTTTCGTGTTCCCGGGTGCACGTTCAGCTCCTGTTGCACCGATTGAATGTTGACCCCGCTGCGTCACGCTCGTATGATGCAGTTTGTGTCCGAAATGATACGCGATCAGAAACGAGTAAAGAAAGGAGGAGCGCGTGTCTTGTAGTGCAGTTTTTTTAATCATGAGCATTTCAATGACGTTGTCCAAATCAAAATAAGCTATTCTAGATCTAATCTTTTAAATAATGCTCTAATTGTTCAATGACAATCAACTGAAAAAAATATTCAGCCGTACTAATGATAACCATAAGCATTAAAGTTCGTGAATTAATTATTTTATTTTGTCAAGAATAAAACGATTGATATCGCAACGCAAGGAAGAAATAAGTCCACGGGTAGAGATAGATGATTGCCGGTTGAAAAATGCTGACGATAGATAACCGCTTCTCCGTATGGATTGTATTTTTAGTCACGTGAGTGCGCGCTCTTCTGAGCTCGATATGATTCGCATTATGTCCAAGGATGACCACGCGCGTGATAGCTTTTAAAACCGATTTTCTTTAATGCGAAGCCGAAGGTTGACAATTTTTACCATCCATAAAATATGAATAGATTTTTGTGCAAATTTTGCAAATTTTCATTTTTTTTTTACCACACGGTAAAACGTACGTAGATATATGTATGTTGTTTGTACTCTCCTTCCTTGCGAGACGTATCTTCCCGAAAGCCAAGGTCTACAAAAAGGGGGCAAGAAATGGTTGCGTAAAGTTCATACATCAAAGAAGGAAACGGAATACCGAGTGCGAAAAACCGCAGAAGTTCAAGAGACAGGCATATTCAAAAGAAAAACGAACCTTACAACTTTCAACCAAATACAATGCATATCTACTTAATTTTTTAAAACCCTATCAAAATTAATGTATGTAATCAATATACTGTATTATCATCATTAAGAAATTATCATTGTTTATTTGAGAATATTGGAAGATCAGGAGATTCAGGACTAGTTCGGTCATCACCAATTATTCCTTAATGAATGGAATTAGAAGGAAATTGCACAGGACCTTTCTTGTATCTGACAACTGTTCAGCACCGACGAATGTTTTGCTTTCTATTTCTTACTTCGGTGGGAATATATAATAGAGAATGCCAAAAATTGCAGATTTTCTCGTGCGACACGAAGTCCCATAAGGGTGCCACTCTTTAGAACGGTGGTAGAACGCCGATGGAACGCACACGGTACATTCGCGACTACTCCAACGCGGTTCAATAAATGGCCCCTCGGCAACATTCCGACTCTT